GACAGACAGACAGACAGGCGGGCATAGAGTGTGAGTGATTAATTGCTGGACAGAGGTTAAGAGATAGAAAGAATCTTCGGAGGAGAAAGCTTGTTTCCAATAGAGCAGGATATTCCGTGACAAATGATACAACTATACCCATTCATCCTGACGCAAACGTATCTACATAATTGTCAGACTCTAGAATGCACCTATATGTACAATAATAGTCCTGTCTGGTCTCCTGACTCTTTCTTCAGTCTTTCCACTGCTACTCCTTGGCTCTTTCTTACTGCTGTCTTCCTGCTGTCTTCCTGCTGTCTTCCTGCTCTCTTTCAGCCACACTCCTGATCTTAGGGTATATAAGATCTAACTCCTAGCCTTCTCGGATAAGGGCGAAAAAAATCTCAGAGGTCTCGTGTGCAAGTTGCGCACGTGAAAGATACCTTTGTGGCGTTGGTGGCCAAGTGGTTAGGCTACCGGACCCGTAATCGGGGGTTTGAGCCTCAGCTCGGTCCGATGTTGTGTCCTTGGGAAAGCCACTTTACACGAATTTCCCACTTGGCTCGGTCCTTTCGGAGATGGACGTTAGACTCGGAGGACCGACCTATTAGCCCGTACAGGTAGACAAAACATGGCATACAGAGAACGGGGACAAGACAGTATTGTATTGGCAATCCCGTATCGTCGGCAAACTGTTCAAATGTAATGTCCAGAAAGCAGAAAAAAAATTGGAGAGAGAAAAAATGTTTAATTCTTTTAACAATTGTACTTCTATTCCATTTTTGTTTGTTTGTGTTTTTTAACATTAAGAATTTGAATCTCGAATCTCGACAAAACATTTCTTGAGCACATGCAACCCATACCACATATTTAGGAACTGTAATTTGAAAAACGAAAAAAAAATATATGAGCGGCTCGATATGGGATTGACAATACTGTCTTGTTGTTGACGACATTACTGTTTGCAGTCAGGGGCGCCCCGGTAGCTCAGCTGGTGGCATGCAGGACGACGGAGTGGATGACTCAGGTTCGAATCCCGGAATGGGAGTTCTTTAACTCAGTTCATGTTGTAGGGTTTTCAAGGCTTACAACCCATTTGGCTTGGTCTTATCGGAGACTGACGTTAAAGGCGGAGGTTCTGTCTCTTTAATAACATTATAATGCCCTACTTCTGTTGATTGCCTTGTCTTAGCCTTTTCCCAGCACTAAATGACCATTGGTTCTCCTTACTCAAACAAAAGCAAACGAACAAAACCGACGCACTTACTTTCTTTTACCACGGAAGACAGATCAGCGCGCTGTTTTGTTGTTCTCTCTCTCTCTCTCTCTCTCTCTCTCTCTCTCTCTCTCTCTCTCTCTCTCTCTCTCTCTGTCGTGACGACACGGTATTTGTTTTCACCTAGATAGAAGTGAAGATCGGCGCGTTGTTATGTGGTTCTATAATTCCTCTGTGTCACTATAAATCTCGCCTGGCTGGAGGCGGTGATGTGTGTGGACAGCGGCACGAGAGTTGTCTCCCCGGACGCCTGCACGAGATGGATGGATGGCCTTGGCAGATTAGTTGTAGTATCGTCACTCTGGGACAGCGTGTAGCGCTGTGTTCATTCGATTTGACCATTCAGCATTCTCGATTATTCCGCTTTTCACAGTTATTCGAAGCGTGGTGGAGCCTTTCAAATACTGTGTGATTCTTGTTGTTGCGGACAATAGATTTTTGTCTTACTTTTCTCAACAGGATTTAAGATTGGAGCCTAATATGTCTAAAATCAATGAGGTCAATTAAAAAAAAATACACTGTGCTTGATGATTACGAGACATAGTGATAAGAGGAGCCAATGAGGGTTATAAAACATGCCTTCTTGATACATACGCTATTTGTGTCCATGAGAGTGTTTTACTTACAGAAAAGAGAAATATATTTCACAAAATCCTACAGCTGTGTGGTTGGCAGGCACTTTGATTTGGTTTACTCCTTCTTTACTGTCAAATAAGTATTGTCTTTATCTCTCCTTCTTTACTTTGTATGTTGTTTCCAAGTAACAGCTCTAATCTTCTGCATTTACAAAATTACATGACCCGTTTGGGTTGCAAGTGCCGTAAAACGCGTGCTAAAAGCTAAACTAAAACTCCTACAAGAGTGCGCGTGCATCCGGTGTTTCTCCGTGTGTTCTCCTTGACCGCTGTGTCTCAGACGCCATGATGTACCACATGGAACAGGGCAGCCAGATAACCAACCAGGGCGGTCAACTGCCGGACCCTCACGTGGTGCCCTCCTGGGCCACCCGCCACGCCCCGGACCCCACCACCATACACGTGCACGCTCACACCCACGGCGGACACACCATGGCGGAGTGCCAAGTGAGTGAGGGTGTTAGATGTACAAATGTACATGTCGTATTTATTGCTTCTCGCTCTCGTCTCCCCTCCCCTATCCCTCCCTCCTTTCTCTCTCTCTCC